AGAATTTTTGTCTATGTGAAAGCTTCTAGTTATGTTTCTGAATTTCAATTCTGCACTGTGAGTTAGCTGGCCTGAAACTTGGCTGAAACTGGCTGAAAAACACTGTTCCGGCTGAATTGTTATGAGAGAAAAATATTGTTCCGGCTGGAGAAAAAAAACCAAACAAGCCGAATATGAGCTAAGCCGAACATGACCACTGTGAAGTTTATCCTATCTTCAGCAGTGCTGCTATTTCTTCATGTCTGCAGAAAGTAACTCCTTTCCCGTTGCATCTTGCCGCTTTATGAGATGTTGTGAAACGTTGTCGGCGTGAAATAAAGCAACGCCGAGATCCCCTGCAATTGCAAGCCCCCAAACGCCACATAGCTCGGCGGCAGTTGACTTCACGCCGAGCGTGTGAGAAGAGGGCCGAGCCGCGGCTAAGGGCCTAGATCTCGGCGTTCTACAGGAGCACGCCGAGGCCTCAGACTTAGGGCCTGTTTGGAGGGGCTCTGGCGGCCCCGGCTCCGGGTACTGTAGCAGTACTGTGGAGGAGCCGTGGGAGCACCAAATCCCTGGCTCCTCCGGCTCCTCTTGTTTTCACGTTGCTTTTTGTTTTAGCTCCTCCCGTCCGGCTCCTTGCTACAGGTAAGAACAACGCTGCACAGTGCTGCTACGTAGGGAGCCGGAGCCGCAGGAGCCGGTGCCAAACACTGCCTTAGCGTTAGGTGGACCGACGCCGAGGTTTTCGGAGCCCATTGCCAGCGTGGCTAAGGTGACCAGCGTCCTTGCTGACGTGGCACTGCACAAGCGCGATCTGACATGACATCGAGCCGCGTACCTTGAGTTTTGGTCTATTTTTGAAAAAGGTTTGGTCAAGGATTTATTTGTAAAAGATGTTTCTAAAAAGGATCAAAATGCAAAATTTTCACTCTCGCGGTTGCCACCACGCGTCCACGCCTATTAAATGGGCCGAAAAAATAGCGGAGGCCTGGCAGAGATAGCTGACGTGCTGCTGGGTGCTCATCATCGCTGTGCAGTGTGCGGCATAAATACCGTACACCTACATGAAGGGCATGTCCGAGCTCAGGGATTCATTTCATGGTGCTCCTCCCTGCGTACTGATACGCGAATCTGACGGTGTGGCCGCCACACGTGGTGGGCGATGCTATACTACCGTACGGAGTACTCCTACTACAGTCTACGCAGACGCAGTGAATAGCGCATTTTTGGATAAATAAGCTATGTTTGGCTACCATTATAAGTCAACTTGTACGGTATTTTTCTCTTCTAATAAATTAGCCGTACAAATCAGCACGAGCAGCTTATAGACCAGCCGACCAGAGCCTAAATTATCGGATCGATGCAAGGAGACTTGTCTGCTGTTGTTTTGAGAATTGACCAATGCGTACCATCGCGATTGGTTCTCTAGAGATGGAGAGCAGCATGATCCGTGGAACGCAGAGAGATGAATGATTGGCCGCCGTCATCCTGATCGACTCCCGAGAAATGAAATCCAGTCCCGTTTCCGTATGTCCTTGGAACACACGCACAACACGATCAGATAGCCTGGCTTGTGGAGAGCGACGCGTGAGCTTTCTTCCGTCGTCCAACTGAAAACCTGTTCCACGCACGCACGCACGGATCCAAACACGAACGTTCTATGTCTTCTCATAGGGCGCGTTCGCTGGTCTGATCGACCAGCCGCTGCTTCTCCTCACAAAGCCAGTTTGATCATGAAGTAAATACAACTTTGATTTGTGTTCAAACTTTAACGTTTGGGTAATTTCTTACCCAACACAACATGAGCATCTCTATATAGGAATCATGCACCTAAAAGCGGGCACCTGATAGTGCCACGTCACCCGCTAACCCACGAGCCATTGGATCTAACGACGACGCGAGCTGGGCCGTTCGATCTGGGTCATAGCGGGTCGTCCCCGTTATTCTGCGAACCCAATCAGTCGCGAACCCACTCGTCCTCCGGGCGCTGGCCTGCCCGCGCGCCGCAGCTCTCGGCCGCCTCCTCGGCCGCAGCGCATGGGCCATGGCAAGCGGCAGCTCGTCACATTCCTTGCATCCCTAGATCTAGATCGTCGCTCCCCACTGCTTGCAGCCGCGGCGGTGTCGCAGTCGCACGAATTGTCCATGAGGCTGCGCTTAGGACAACGAACTGTGCTTCCTCATCCCCTCTGTTGCCGCGGCCCCTCGTCGTCACACACAATGGCACCACTTTTGCGACCACAGAGGCATCAAATTCGGCGGCGGCGAGCACATAGTCTTCCACGTGGCAACCATTGGCCAGCAATTCAGCCTTGCTGCCGAGACGCTGCTCCTGCTGAGATCGTCATGCCGCGCGATGCGGCCGAGGCCGCTGCCGGCACGGAAGGCTACCACGCATGTCGCGCTCCAGCAGAAGCTTATCAAGGCACATCACGAGGCCCTAGCTGTCTTCGTCGCCGCCACCAAAGCACGAGCCTCTGGCTGTCTCCGTCACCATCACGATGGTACGAGCCGAGCTTGAGAGTGAGGTGGAGCCACATCGAGGTTCAGCCACAGCGTCAAACTGTTAATCTTCCACGCCAAGACCACGGGCCTACTTGTGCTCAGAAGCTGTTCGGCGAAATGCCGCAGCACAGATTCTTCCAAGTGCACGCACGGCGTGGTATGGTAATGCAGGAGATGGCCGTGTAGCTTTTCCACATGATGCAGACAGGGGAGCTGGCACTCTGCAATCATCTCCAAGCACAGCCAACTGGATATGGTTCAAATAGAGCTCTATTTGTTCCACTCCACTCACAGCCGTGCTCAACCATGTTTAGCTTCCATTTTTCTCATTAAACCGATGCTTCCTATTATCCTTAAATTCATAAATTAAATGTCCTAAATAGCATGAGATTCCACTATACCCTTATGAAGTATATAGAGTACTACATGCATTTCTATTACAGGGAATGCAGCTACCGTTGCACATCTGTGCACCATGCCAGTGTGCTACACTGTGACAATGATCGTAGTGTCGTGCCTTGGAGCTATCTTCATACACTCGAACATGATCTGCAATTATGGATTTAGCTATACAGCATATTCAAGTTTGACGTCTACTTACATGATGAAGCCCTTCTTATCATCCTTTGCTTTACAATATCTTGCAGGTTGCATGATTGAGTTGAAAGAAGACAAATCTAGGTATATATGAGATCTATTAGGAGTGGGAGGGAGGGAGGGAGGGATTTTGATTTTCTGAAGCATGGTTCACAGATTAAATGAGGACGGTACAAGGTCCATACAAACTCGATCATGTATTACTTTTTCTCAGCTTGTCAATACTCGATCTTGCAATTGCTAAAAGTGTGCCAACTAAATAGAAACCACATAAGTGAATATTCATTTGCCAATATTATCGGCTCGCAATTGTTATTGCATATTTTAGCATATCGTCACAACAGCATACACATATGTCAGTTCTGTGAAACACAAACAGATTGACTCTCCCATTTGGGCTGATCTTATCAAAGTCAAGAACATTTATTTACAGGGGAGAAAAATGAAGGTGAAGAATAGCAAAAACACCCTGGTCTTCAGAAAGTTGACAATGAGATGTTGATTAAAGGCGTCGACACCATGATCAAAATTGCACTACAGCTACTGTCCAAGAAGCATCAAGCGGTGACTCGTTCCAACTTATTGCCAGACCCCGCTGATGAAGATGACGCAGAACAGGAGCCGGATTGCTGATGGAGCCTGGAACTTGCCGCTCTCTTTTCTGCCCAGTGTTCTTTTGTTGGCTGTAGTTATCAATCTCAGGGTTGTAATCTGGCGTGGTCTGTTAGGCTTTTACTTCATACTGTGTTCTGGACGTCTGTCTGTTCTGTTTGCTACTCTGAACAGGCCTTAAAACTCTGCTGCATTTCCATTCTTCGTAATGGAAATGGGGAATATCCCTAATTCGAAAAAAAACATACACATATGTCAAACTCATGTCAACTCACAAGCCACATGAAAGGACGAAAGGAAATGACTCAAAAACTATTTCAACTCACAAGCCACATGAAAGGACGACTCAAAATATTTCTTGGCTGGCTTGCTAGTGGCAAAGGTGCGGCATTTGCTACTGGCAAAGGCGCGGCAATGCCGCGCCTGGTAGGTACCAGACTGGACGTAGTCCGCTCCACCTCCACGGCCATGCCGTGCCGCGCGCTCCGCGAGCCTTCCCTTCTGGAGCCCGTGAGGCCCATTGACGCTGCTCGCCGTCGCCCGGCAATGGAGCCGCCGTCCGTGTCCCAACGACAACGAAACCGCCCTTTTTCGAATTCGAACTCGGCCGCGGATCTCGCCTCCGTGCCATGGGGATGCGTAAACAAACAAGACGGAACAAAGTAGCCACCGCCAAGGGCGCGGTCACGGAGAGCAGACCAGCCGCTGGCACCGCTGACGCGGACGTCAACACATGCAGATGGTCCAACAAATCCTGCAGACAAAACAAATGCAAAGCTAAACCGAACTCCATCCGGACCAAAACAACGGCACGCCGCGCCAGCCCAGCGTAGCCAAGCAGCCGGCCGAACTCATCCCCATCCCGAGCTCACCTGCCGCTGCCTGCCGGCCATCGCTACATGCCGCGCCGCCGTCTCCCACGCCCAGGCCGCCTCCTCCGTGACCGTGACGAAGCGCGCTCGCAGGCGCAGGCGCAAAGAGACACCACCGTCACACACCCAGCGCGCACACACACACTGATGAGTGATGAGCTGAACTGAGCTTGCTGTGCAGCTGGCCCCCATGTGACTCTGTGTGACGAGCCTGCGCTGCGCTTGCCTTCATCAATCACACACACACACACGCCCCTCCCAGCCCCATGTGCCCGCTCTGAATGCCACTGCCCGCTCCACGCTCCCCTCTCCTCTCTCTCTCTCTAGATCACAAGATCGACCCGCCGTCCGGCTCGCATTCCCTGCCTCTCCTCCGACCGGATCGCACCGCGCCGACCACCACCAGACACTCCGCTCCTCAGAGCAAGAGCCATGATCCTCCGCAGCGCGGCGGCGTTCGCGCTGCTTCTGCTGCTCGCCTGCGCCTCGGCGGCGCAGCAGGAGGGGGCCGTCTCCGAGTCGTACGCGTCCTCGCTCGCGTCCCGCTTCGACGCGCCGCCGTCGTGGGCGTTCCCGAACCCTCGCCTCCGGGCGTCCTACGCCGCGCTGCAGGCGTGGAAGCGCACCGCCATCTTCTCCGACCCTTCGAACTTCACCGCCAACTGGGTGGGGCCCAACGTCTGCGCCTACAACGGCGTCTTCTGCGCGCCCCTCCCCGGCAGCACCTCCCACGACATCGTGGTCGCCGGGATCGACCTCAACCACGCCGACATCGCGGGGTACCTTCCCGCGTCGCTGCTGCTGGGCGTCCCGGACCTGGCGCTGTTCCACATCAACTCCAACCGCTTCTGCGGCGTCGTCCCGCGCACGTTCGCGCACCTCCACGAGCTCGACCTCAGCAACAACCGCTTCGTGGGCGGGTTCCCGGAGGTGGTGCTGTCGCTGCCGTCGCTGCGGTACCTGGACCTCCGCTTCAACGACTTCGAGGGCAGCATCCCGCCGGCGCTCTTCGACCGCCCGCTCGACGCCATCTTCCTGAACTCCAACCGCCTCCGCAACCCGATCCCGGCCAACCTCGGGAACTCCCCGGCCTCCGTCGTCGTGCTCGCGCACAACCGCCTCGGCGGGTGCATCCCGCCCAGCATCGGACGGATGGCCGACACGTTCAACGAGATCGTGCTCATCGCCGACGAGCTCACGGGATGCGTCCCGCCGCAGGTCGGCCTGCTCCGGAAGCTCACCGTCTTTGACGTCAGCGTCAACCACCTGCAGGGACAGCTCCCCGCCAGCATCGCTAACATGGCTGCTGTCGAGGAGCTCGACGTCGCCCGCAACCGTCTCGAGGGCGCCGTGCCGGCGGGAGTCTGCGCGCTCGCCAGCCTCAGGAACTTCACCTACACCGACAACTTCTTCACTTCGCGCCCGCCCTGCGCCAAGGCCACCGCCGACGGCGCTTGGAACTGCATCCCCGGCGCGCCGGCCCAGCGCCCGCCGTCGCAGTGCGCGGCCGCCGCGGCACACCCGTTCGACTGCAGCAAGGCGCAATGCCAGGAAGCCCCGGGCTACACCCCGACGCCGGGCGGTGGCCACGCACGCGGCGACCGCGGCCGCGGGAGCGGCAGCCAGCCGCCCACGCCGGTGTCGTCGACTCCCAGAGGCAGAATCGCAGGGAACCCGCCGCCATCGTCTGCTACTCCCACTCCTTCCTACCCGTCGCCGCCGTCGAGCGCCACCACCCCCTCGTACCACTCGCCACCCAAGGGCTCCACCACCCCGTCGCCGCCTAAGGGCTCCACCACTCCGTCATACCCTTCACCGCCGTCGAGCGCCACCACCCCGTCCTACCACACGCCGCCACCTCAGGGTTCACCCACCACGCCGTCGTACCCATCGCCGCCATCGAGCGCCACCACCCCGTCCTACCACACGCCGCCACCACAGGGCTCACCCGCCATCACGCCGTCGTACCCTTCGCCGCCATCGAGCGCCATCGCCCCGTCCTACCACACGCCACCTTCGCATGGGTCACCCACCACGCCATCCTACCCGACGCCACCCTCAAGCTCCAGCACGCCATCCTACCACTCGCCGCCGTCCGGCTCCACAACTCCTCCAGTAACAACACACGCGCCGCCCCCGCCGACGTCCTCAGACGAGCCGGACGTGCGGTACGCGCCGCCCCCGAGCTACACAACGCCGCCATCGTCCCACTCCCACGGGTCGCCGTCGCCTCCCTCCACGGGGCACCAGCCCCCGTCCTCCGGCGGCCACCCCGCCACGCCGCGTCGCCGCCCACGGCGGAGCACCCAGGCTACGCCCTGCCTCCGCACTCCCCGGGGACCGGGACGCCCTCGTCGCACCCCACCACCCCCTCCTCTGGGACGCCATCGTCCTCGCATTGCTCGCCGCCGCCTCATCAGGGCGGGAGCCCCGGCACCGGCACCGGCGGGCACCATCCGGGCGGCGGCAAGCTGCCGTTCCCGCCGGTGTACGGCGTGTCGTACGCGTCGCCGCCGCCGCCGGGGAAGCCGTACTACTGAACCGCCATTGACAGCTCGCGCCCGCGCTGCCTCGCCGTCGCCGGAGTATAATACTTTCCACCCGCCAGTATAATACTTCTCCATGCATCATGTAGTATTTTTTTTGTTGGTTTCTTTTTTTCTTTCTTTCTTTGATGATGAGTATTTGATCAAATTGAATCAAAGAGTTGCTATGTATTGATTCTTTCTTCTTCCTCCTTCCTCACCGAATGAATTTATTAATTAGTTTCAAGATATATATAATACTGCCCTTATACTCCAATCAGATCAGCATCTCCCGTATACAATCCATCATGAACGTAGCGAGACGAGATCTGTGATACAGTACGGGGAATCCATGTTGGACAAGGGCTTATAAATTCGTCGTAGATGTGCGGAATGCAGGCACCGCCATGGAAGCGGCAACCTTTTCATGAGCCCCGATCGGAATGTCTGCACGCACTTTTGCGGAGGTGGTGGATGCCGACGCAAAGCACTTTCTGATGGCTCTTTCGGTGGCCAAGTACGCATCGCTAGCAGTTCCGGGCAAGGAAAGGGGATCGGAGGAAGAAGAAAGGGGTGGAGGTCTGGAGGAATAACCGATCTTTCCGTTCCGTGGCCATGGCGCCCTCGTGGAGGCCGTGACGAGAGAGGAAGAAGCAGCAGCGGGCGGGGGGCGCCGGACACGGACGACATGGAGGAAGAATACAGCTTTGTGGTGGTGAGCTGGGCTGGTGGCTAATCACCAATGCATGCATGCCTAATCGGAGAGCAACCACCGTCCGTGTTGTACTTGCCGGATTCAGATCAGCTGATCACGACAGCGGGGGCGCCCCCTCTCCGTGTCCCGTGTCCCATCCCATGGCGGCCGCGTGGGCGTGTCCGATCCGACCGGGTCCGCCCGCGGCGCGGACCCCCACACGCGCTGACACACGCCAGCGACCACTCCGCTGCAGGCTGCACCGATCCATGTGCGCCCGCGCCTGCTTTGCTGCCGAGGGAGTAGAAAAAAGGGGGAAGAGGACACAAGCCAGCCCATGGGATGGCCGGATGCGGGGTTGCGGGGGCCATCGGCCGTGGAGTCGGTGCACCGCCCCGCGTCGGCGACTCGACGCTGCGAGCGTCCCGGACGTCGGAGCCTCTCGGCCAGCGCGGCCAGGAGCCCAGATTTGGTCATTTGGGTGGGTGGGGAACTTGGCTGGGGATTCGCGCTGTCACCATCATCTCTCGTCGGGTCGGGGAGTCACATGGATGGGATCCGAGCCGTGCATGCATGCATAGCGCAGTACAGTGGGCAGGTGACGGTGCGCGACGGCACGCGGCAGGTGGCAGCAGCCAGCAAGCAGCACGGTGGTCGGTGGTCGGTGGCCGGTGGGTGAACAGCACCGATGCGGGGGTGTTCTCTGGGGTCGGGTAAGCACGACCGATTCACACTTTTACCCACCGTTAACCACTTGGGGGAGGGGGTGAGATCTGCAATTATGAATTATTTAGCAATTTTCTCTTTATGTATTTAATTATCTTGTTTACTTATTTCTTTGACCGTATCCGACAACTGAACCGGTTCGTTCGTACATGAGGGAAGAAATATGCATGTGATCTGCTGCTAGGCCGTGCCATTTTTTGTTTAATCGTTCAACTCGACCGACAGTACCTGCGACTCGTGGTTAGATTCAGAACTAGTACTTTAGTTGGAGAAAAAGTTAGAATACCTATACTACTTTTTATTTGCTAGGGACTTTAGTCTGTTTGTCTACTCCGTGCTGATTGTCTACGGTAGGAGACGAGTATTGCCATTGCAAATCAAGCATTTTTTTTGAACTGAACACGCGCCTAGTACTATTGTAGTGCTACCTATACTACTAGCTAGGCTTGGTCTGTCTACTCCGTGCTGATTGTCTACGGTAGGAGACGAGTATTGCCATTGCAAAGCCAAAACAACTTGCATCGGCACGCAGGACCTGCTTGGTCGTCAGTCATAGTCAATGCCCGACGATCTCACGCAGTAGCCGTTACAATACAACCATGCATGCGCAATAAACTATTATTACTGCTGCTGCTCTCACTGCTGGTTTAGTTCCAAAAAGTTTTCCAAAAAGTGCTACAGTAGTCATCACATTGGATCTTACGATACGTGCATGGAGCATTAAATGTAGACGAAAAAAAACTAATTGCACAATTTTGTTGGAAATTGCAAGACGAACGTTTTGAGCCTAATTAATCCATGATTGAACACTAATTATCAAATAAATACGAAAACGCTACCGTAGATAAATTCATAAAATTCGCGAACTAAACACACAGCCCCACTGTGTTTCTGGATTAGCCGTTGCATTAAAGCATTAGTACTGTGGCCGCATAATTTTCGTTGCGGTGGCGCAGACGCTGCGCTGCGCAGACACGCTTTGCTGCCACCGTGGGGAGCAGACCGCTGCTCTGTCCGCGTCGCATGCAGGGTGTGGGTTAGCCATGAATGCAGAGCGAGTGACCGTCGTCGTCGTGCAGGTGACGCTGCAGGTGCGTGACGCTGACGGCTCCGTGACGACGACCACCAAGGGCCTGTACGGGATGCGCGGCCCACTCGCCAGAGGCCTAGCGCTGAGCTGCTCGTCCGGGAGCTATAGGATGATGAATGGAAATGGATGGTGTCGGCGCCGGCGTGCCGAGACACTCATCAGTAGTCTCGATCATCAGATCATGTAATGTAGGAGTGCCACTGTACTAACTAGTTCGTTCATGCGCTTCGTGTTCAGGTTTAGTACACGGTCGATGCAAATCTCTGGAGCTAGCTGTACACTGGGAAGGTAGTGCGTTACTTTAGCAGACTAGCAGCAGCCAGCAGGACGGCTGTGTCCGGTGACAGGCCCACCGGCTGGCCCCAGCTCACGCCCGTTGGGCTCGCAACGTCTACCGGGCTTGGCCCAACTCAACGCCGGGAGCCTCTTGGTCCAACAAACCGACTACTGAGAATGCTTCCTTGGACTTGGAGGCTGGAGCGACCGCGGGCGAGGACGACGCCGTGGACGGCAGCAGAAGAAGAATTAGGCCAAAAATTGAGGGTACTTGGCTCCTGCCTCCTGCTATGGATGCAAGCGGGCCTGCCTGCGGGCGCCCACCACGCCGCCGCATCAACTGTATGTGGAAATCGACTATCCTGCAGGAGCCCGCTGCGTTTACGTGGTGTTTAAATCCAGGGTAAAATCTAGGGATGCCACGTCAGGTGTCATATACATGCCACGTCAGGTGTCATATACAAATGTCACGTGAAAGTGTTCAGATAGTAATAATAAAATAAATTACATAAGTCTTTAATAATCTGTAGAACGAATTTATTAAGCCTAACTAATCCGTCATTAACACATATTTATAGTAGCAACACATTATCAAATCATGGGATAATTAGGCTAAAAAAATTCGTCTCGTAAATTAGTCGTAATATGTGCAATTAGTTATTTTTTTTATATTTAATACTCCATACATGTATCGAAACATGTGATAGGGAGTAAACTTTAGAAAGAGTAAGGCCCCGTTTGGCAGGGCTTTACTTTATTGGTAAAGCCAATTTTTTTTGCTTCAGCTACACGAACAGTTTCCACCGGTGGAGTTAAAGCGGTTTTGGTAAACCGTTTGGCAAAATGACTTCCCTGTGAGAGCATGTTTTTAGGGGCCTGGAGGAGGAGCCGGGAGAAGCCATTTTTTTTTCTATCCCACCCCAAATCATTGTGAGAGCATGTTTTTAGAGACTTCACCGGTGAAACTATTTCACTTTACCCCGTTTAATAGAAAATGACTCCAAACGACTCCCGCCAAACGGCGCCTAACTAAACATCAAGGCGGAAGAGAAGAGACATCGTTCCCGTGCAGATGCGAGTTGCTAATTGATTAATTAACAAGTCCCGCGCAACAGCCGTAGGGGACACGAGGCCCTAGACGATGTTCCGCCGACCTCTGTAGAAGATGGTGGCCGGCGTCCGGGACGTCGCGACCGGTGAAGACGAGGTCCTGCACCCACATACCACGACAGGCGCGTACATGTGCAGCTACGGTCGAGAGATGGCATGTCCGGACAGTGCGGACCGTGTGGCAAGCCACCGTTCCCGCGGCTGCGGCGGACGGCGACGACGGGGAGCTACGGAGTTCCAGGCATTGCAGGCTTGGCCGTCGATTGCAGACCTTGCAGGTTCTCGTGTAACCCAATAGGCTTTGCAGGTTACGCCACTTGAGCTGGCATGAGGCATGCAGGTGTCCGCAGGAGCCTGCTATTTTGGCAGGTAGGCCTAGCAGGTCGGCCCGCGCCCACTTGCATCCCTGCATCAATGCCACGGCGTGGCGTGGTGCTCCACACCGGCCATGACGGAGAGGAAGTGAGAGCTCTGTATATTGCATTGTTTCTTTCTGTTACTACATTTGATGAGAGTGATCCTCTATTTATAGAAAGGGAGGCCGAGATAAATTCAAGCTACAGTGTGTGAACTCTTTGACTTCTCTTCACTCTCTTCATTGATTTGGCCACCATTTTTACTTTGATTTACAGCTGTCGTAGCATCTGTAACAATAGTAGTTCTAGCTGCAACTGCTTCTCCTGCTCGTGTAACTGCTTCTGCTGCTGCTGCAACTGTAGTTGCAGCTGAAACTGCATTGGTAGATGAGGAGGAATTGAGACCGGTGGTAATACCACAATGTCCTGGGGGAGATAAGGGCAAACTCCAGTAAATGCAGATGATTCTGTTGATCTATGGTCAGGAATCCAAATGTATATTCATTAGCTGCAATCAAAGATTTACCCCCGCTGCTACAGCAGGAGGTTGAAGACGCTCACATTTGACGTCTTTCTTCTAATGGTCAGTATTCGACCAAGTCAGCATATGAGGGTTTTTTCATATGATCCACTCTTTTTGCCTATATAAGAGAATCTGGAAATCTTGGACTCCACCCAATTAGTTTCTTCATGTTTTTATGACACCTATATTTAATGCTTCATGCAACATCCGGCTAAAAATTGATGTGATGGAGAGGAGGAG